AATTTGAAGTTACATATTGGTGCTCACCAGGAATGCATAAGCAAAATTGCACAAATTTTCACTTGAAAGAATAGTGGCAATCTTGGGATTTTTTTTCTGTTCAAGTTTCAAAGAGTGTGTAAATTCAATACACTTCATCTTCAGCATGTTTAGTGCCACTTTTGTAAGTAACCACGCCCCCGACAAGGCCACGCCCCAATCCAGGCCACGCCCCGTCCATGCCACGCCCCTTTCCGCTTTTTTCATCACTCGCCAGTTATTCATCAATTTGTTGTGCATTGTGTTTTCTGCAGCCCTGTCAGAGAATTTGATCTACTAGGGCAGGGGTGGCCAACCCGCGGCTCGCGAGCCGCATGCGGCTCTTTGGCTGGTTTAATGCGGCTCCCAGGCTGTCACATGACAAGCATCGAAAACGGCTCGTCGTTGGCGCTGCCATTCAAACAACGGCGCTAAAGCTAAATAAACAGAACGAACTACGTCAGCCTATCATCAATGCAGTTACTTGATTGACATACAGGGCAACCAATCAGATGACAACTGAATCACCGCTCATGCGCAAACAACGGTGCTCAACGCTAAGCGCTAAGCTAGTCAGCTTTAAATTTAGGAGTGCCCAATATGTCAATCGCGATCAACCAGGAGACAGCGGACCGGTCCCAAGTCGAGCGCGAGCGTTGGGAAGAGGAAAATATGTCTGTGTGTTTCGATTTCGTTCGTGTTCAGTGAAGTTCCGGCTCTCGCTCATCTTGGTGTCTGTGCATGCCCTGCGTATGCACACGTGTGCGTGCGTGCGTGCGTGTGTGCATGCGTGCGTGCGCGTGTGTGTGTGTATGCTTGCACTTGTGCAATCTGGTCGATGACGGGAGGTTCGTCGCTTCAAAAGTCGATCTTCGGTCAAATATGTAGCAAGCTGACCCAAGTAGTAACGAACTACTGCACTTTGTGTGTGTGCGCGCGCGCGTGTGTGTGTGTGTGTGTGTGTGTGTGTGTGTGTGTGTGTGTGTGTGTGTGTGCGCGCGCGCGCGCATGTGCGCGATGTGGCTCTTTGCAGTAACACAGTAAAAACAATTGGCACTTCGTCTCTGACTGGTTGGCCACCCCTGTACTAGGGTACCCCTGGGATCTACCAATTATTCCTTTGCACGTCTGTTGTCTGAGTGAGCGTGATGCCAGGGCTAAATAATCCATCAGGCTTCCAATAGGATGACAGAATATGACAATTTGCATGCAAATTGAAATGCCATTTTCGTGCAATGTTTCTTTGTCTGCCACATTCACAGTTAACCTGAGATTTCACATAATTAATTTTCCATTTAGATGTCTCTTCTTTTTTAATACAGCATCCTCATTTGCCTGCTTTGATTTATTTTGAGATGACTCAAAATTAGTTGAAATGAGCTGCACTTTATATTGCTTTTGTTGTCATGTCGTGTATAGTGCCAAGTTAAAGTGTTTGTTTTTGAAAATTGACTAATATTTAATATATATGTATATTTAGGTAAGGTTCATGGCAACATCAAGATACAAAAAGCATTGTTTTTCTCAACTCAAATGTTTTTCATCTGTGTATGATGTGCTACGGAAGAATCAGCTTATACATCTGGGCAAGATGGAAGGATAGATGGCAGTTGAATATTTTCTCAACTCAACTCACCTGTATTTATAGAGCACTTTAAAACAACCATCGCTGAATACAAAGTGCTGTACATGGAGAAAATATCATATACACAACAATGAGCAATAAAACAATGAATAATGCAGACAGAAGAAAGCACAAAAACATTAAACATAAAAATCAAGTCTCATACTGAGTCAAAAGCTAAAGAATAAAAATAAGTTTTAA